GGCTCGATGTGGATTCGAGTGGCTTGGAAATAGCTCGAAAATAGCGTGAATACCTCGTCTTCCCGAAATCGTGATATGGACCTACACAACACACCAACGAGACGCAAAAACATCAAAAAATACAAGAACACATAACAAAAATGAAAACACATAAAATACGACAAAATGAACCGATCGACACTCAAACGAACCTAAAAATGACTCGACTCAAGCACATAAAACACAATAAAGTACCACAAAAACATAACAAACAGTTGTACTATTTATTGACCAACTCACAATGACACGCAAAACGCATAAAATGGAGCACATTCACCCCAATCGAGCTGCAAACGTAAACTCAAATTGCAATTTTGGGCCTGTCTCTCCTCAACCAAACGCATATTTGCGTTTGACGCAAAAAAATGCATTTGATCTTTTGTAAATTGCCTATATGTTGTTTACAAAATTTTGAAATTATTTAAATATTTCATGTTGGCCCCGTTTGGAAGATAGCGGATGGAGGATAAATTAGCGGATTGGACTTAATTGAGAGGTTTGACCCGTCAAATCCGCTATTGAGCTTGTTTGGTAAATAGCTTATTTGATAAGCTTTTTAGGCCCAAAACTCTAATTTAGAAAAAGCTCATTAGAGGAGCTTTTTGAGGATAGAGGATTCACAATCTACAATTTTAATTTAGAATTTTTTAATTTGTATCATTTATTTTACAATCTACATTGGTTTATGATTCTAACAAATAATAATATGTCATCCATATGTTTAATTTATCTAGAAAAATGTAAAATTCATAACTTCTTAATCAAGTGTTAGTAAAATTAAAATATATATATATTTATAAATTACCAACTAAAAAATATTAAATGTTTTAACATATTATTATTAAAAGAATACACCATAAATAATCAAATGTTCTTATTGGTAATTTGCAATGTCAAACAGCTATAAGCTTTCAGCTATTTACCAAACACTTATTTAAAAACCGCTAATGCAATCCGCTAGTCAAATCAGCTAATATAATCCACTATCCGCTAATATAATCCGCTATCCGCTATCCGCTATCCGCTGATCACCAAACAAGACCGTTATGTTTTAAAGGTACAATTTAGGTAATTGTTGATTGACTTATTATAGTAATACTAATCACATATATAAGTCTCTAATATCTCAAGATACACATTTCCTAAAATCATAACTTTAAGAATAAAGTGTATCATTTGATTTGCATAATCATATATTTAAAGAAAAATAATAAATATCCACAATAAAAAAAAATAAACTTTTAAGCTATTTAACTTATGTAATTCGAAATATTTATTCTATATTGTATAATCTTTAGTTAAAAAAATTATGAACTAAATTTATCTTAAATTATTTTCTAAATTGTTTATTTATTATGACTTTTTACACAATAAAAATGCAACTGATGTGAATTCTATATGGGCAAATGTTACAAATTGTTAAGTATAACTAGGCTACTACATGAGTAAATTATTTATTCAATATATATAAGTATATCTATATGGGAAAATGTTAATAAATAATTGTTAAGTATACCTAAATTGTGATTTTTCCTTAGTGATTTTTTTCCCCCTAAATTGTAGACTTTTTTTTTTTCATTCTATAGTTATACTAAATATTTTCATGTTTTTTTCTTAAGACTATAAAAAAAATATTTTTGGGTATATTTATATAAAAAATATATCCAAATTTATCGATATAATTAATAAATTTAATATTTTTGGGTATATTTTTGAATTAAATTACTCTTATAACTTTTTTCTAAATTGTTTATTTAATATGACTTTTACACAATAAAAATGCAACTGATGTGAACTATATGGGCAAATGTTACAAATTGTTAAGTATAACTAGGCTACTACATGAGCGAATTATTTATTCCATATATTTAAATATAAATATATGGGAAAATATTAATAAATAATTGTTAAGTACAACTAGATTGTCATTTCTCTTCAGTGACTTTGTTTTAAAACTTTAGACTTTTTTCATTCTATAGTTATACTTAAGTTTGCATATTTTTTTCTTAAGAATATAAAAAATATTTTTGGGTATATTTATATAAATATTTTTTACTAAGATAATATATAATTCCATTTGTCTATGTCTTTTTTAATTTGGATTGATAAAAATATTTAATTTTTATTTATAAAGATAGTTGGAATTAATTTTAAATTTCTATATATGATAGATGTAAAATAAAACATCGTCAAAAAATAATTAATTTGATAAATCATATCCGAAAAAAGGGCTACATATATAAAAAAAATTATTATCATTTAAAGTATGAATATAATAAATTATGATAGTTAATAAATGAAATAAACGAGAATAAATAATATGAATTTTACATGGTGAAAGTTGATTTTGAGAAAGAGAAAAAAATGACAAATATAAATGCATAATTACCAAAATTGGAAATAAACTAATTATGTGAGGTACCAAACATATCAAAGCAATATTATTTATAAAAAATGAATTACGAAGCACATTATTTTAATATGACAACATCCGGAGCGTGCGAACTTGCCACTTAAACTCAACACGTTCTGAAATTATATATAGAGGGGATAAGAGAAATTAAATCTGCTTAATTTCTTTATATTATTAAAAAAAAATCTATCCAAATATAATTGCAATTTTAAAGTGAACAACAAAATTATTATAAATAATAAAAATTTGTCATTTTAGGTCATGGTTAATATAAATTATAATTTTATTTCTAGATAAATGATTAAGATAGATAAAATTCAATTTAATGTTCTCCATTTGTCTATTTGGTAATCGAATTTGTACATGACTATATATATTATCTTAGTTTTACATAAATTTTGAAAAATATAACGTTTCACTTTGCAAATCATTTAATCAAAAAATTTCAGACATCTTAATTTTAATTTAGTATCCAAGAAAAAAAAAATTAATTGACACTTATTTTGCAATGAATATGACGTAATTTATTATAAATTATGTGCACTGTACGAGTTGTGTACTAATTTAAATAGGCATGTTTTATGTAATTTTACAAAAATTATCTTTCATGTAACATTTCAAATAAATTAATATAGGGAGGAGGGAGCATTACATATTGATTTCATATTATAATTAATTTATTATTATTATTATTTAATAAGTATTTTTTATAAGTATCAATAAATATCTCTTACTCGTGCATCGCACGAGATTCGTACTAGTATATATAAAAAGATTTGATTATTATTTAAATAGTAACTATTTTCCGCCAAAAAAATATTGTTTACTAAATCTGGAAATTATTTAGACATTTTATGGTATGTTTTAAAGATACAATTTAGGTAATTGCGGCAAATTTATTAAGGTAATAAATCACATAAAAATTTCTTTTGAATTTCAGGATATTCATATCATATATTTGTACATATATATCCTATATTTGTACCTAAAATATCGAGATCTATCACATTTCTAACAAACAATAGATTTACTTATATATTTTTAAATCAATCACATAAATAAATAATATTAATATTAATATTAATATTTATCATTATAAAAAAGAAATATTACTTCTATAAACGTTATAAATAATACTGACATTATACGGCAATAAATGTTTGAATAAAATAATATTTGAGTATTATGATGAACCAAAATATGTAAAAATATTATTTTTGGTATTAAAAATAAATATATATGTTAAAATGTTATTTATATTAATATATATAAACGGATCAACGGGCTAATACATTGTTAAAAAAAAGTTTTGCAAAAATACTTTACATTACGAAATTCCCGTGCATCGCACGGGATTTTCACTAGTTAATTTGTACATAGTATAAGAAAATATTGATAATAAATTCAAAAATATAACCTATTTAAAATATTAATCAAATATAAAATAAAGGATAATGTAATTATTTACTTACTGAAAAAAAAAATATTTATTCAGTATTATTTATTAATATATATTATTAATTTGCAATCAATTTTATTTTTCAATGGAATATAAAATATTACAGGTCTAATTTGTAAGAATCTGAAATATGTAGGTAGTATTGAAAAGTTGTAAAGTTAATGTGAAAAAAGAACCACGCAAGATTCTCTCCCATGAGAGCGACTCAATTCTCTCCTATGAGAGCGATTCAATTTCCGATCTTCGTTGTTGTGTTTCTCGGTGCCGTGATTTCCTCATATACACTCCATTTATTAATTTAAGTTTTCTGTTTGTTCCTTTTCTTTTTTGCTTTTCCGTAATCCGTTCTTAGGGTTTCTGATAATGGCCGACGACACTTGTAATAGCCATGGTGATGAGTTATCAGACCGATTACAGGCCTTCTCCCTGTCTGATTGGGAAGCGAAAGTAGTTGATATTGCGCAAGATGATATTAAACTCAGCGATGATGAATGTCGAAGGAGTCTATTTGGAAAGGTAATTGGGGATCGTCCAGCTAGCTGGATTGGAATTAGACGTGCAATGTCACAAATATGGAAGCTAAATCAACCCATGGAGGTTAAGGATCTCAGTCCTAACTATTTCCAATTCATATTTCAAGATGTTGAAGACAAAAAGCGTGTCTCTGCTGGTAACAATTGGAGCTTCGAAAACCAATACCTGATCCTTAGGGAATGGTCTAATGGTATCTCCAGTAAACATCAAAGTTTCAGAGAGCTAACTCTATGGGTGCAAATTCATAATATTCCCTTAAATTGGGTTAGCTCGGAGGTGGGGTTCAAGATTGGTAGAGCTTTTAAGAGCCTCAAGAATGTTGTAGTTGCGTCTATTGGCAATCATGGAGGGAAACTGCTGCGGTTACTGGTTACTTTGGATATTGATGAGCCCATTCCCAGAGTTCTGCACATCCGATTGGGGGACCAAATAGCTAATGTTATGTTCAAATATGAAAAGCTGTTGAATCTCTGCCATTACTGTGGGAAGATAGGCCATTTAGACCGTAATTGTGCTAGGAAAATGGAGGATGTTGCTAACAGTTCTATGAAGGACAGACAATATGGTGATTGGTTGAAGGCGGCTGATGGTCAAAGGTGGTCGGCTGGAAATTTCTCGGATACAAGATCCTCTCCTCCAAGAGAGTCTCCTTCAATGGCTGAAAATACCACTGCAGCTCAAGATATCTCATCAAGCATCCCTTCTAGCAGTAATCAGATTGCTCAAAGCCATAATGTCACAATCTCTCTAGCTAAATCAGTTGTAGCTACTTCTCTCATCTCAGCTACTCAATCACTGCATAAGAAAGCTGACATCATAGAGAACAACCTTCAAATTGTTGAGTCTATAGGTATGGAAGTAGAGAAAGTTACCTCAATTGTAGCATCCGCTCCTCTGCAGGAATTGCAAATGGCCCCCTATATCCCTCCTCTTAAAACATGGAAAAGAGTGGGTAGTAGCAAGGGAAGATTGCAGAGAGCTTCTAAGCCAATAACTCATAATGATAATTTATGGAAGGGGAACAGAGCTAGAGAGGACAGTATCACAGAAGAACCATCAACTGATGCTCTTCCAATTACTCAGGTGCAATCTAAAAAAGTCAAGTCCATGTCTGAAATGGTAGGGGCTGTCAGCCTGGAGTGGCACCAACCTGATAAATGTTAGCTATGGTGTAGAATTGTAGAGGGCTGGGTAGGCCCTCTACAATTTCCCAAATCAGAGAGTTGTTAAGAACTCACCACCCAAATTTTCCGTTCTTGTCTGAAACAAAAAAAAAAAAACCAAAAGCATTTGTTAAATCTGTTTGTAATAAGTTGGGTTTTGATAATAGATTAGCTTTGGTAGATCCAGTTGGTCTTAGTGGTGGATTGGTTCTTTGTTGGGATTCTAATGTTATTATTCATAATATCAAGTGTAGGGATTTCTATATAGTTGTTCTCTTTCAGATTAACTCAGATGCCCCTCAATGGGGAGTTTTTGTTTATTGTAACCCTTGTAGAGTAATCAGAGGGAACCAATGGGAGGAGTTAATTATTGACAAGCAATCTTGGGGTCACATTTGGTTCTCTCTGGGGGATTGGAATGATATTATTTCTGCTAGTGAAAAGGAAGGAGGCCTCTCCAGAAATGAAAATAGCTTTCTTGGCTTCCGGAACTTCATCAATGCCATGGAGATGTCAGAGATTAAATTTGAAGGATATCCTTTCACTTGGTGCAACAACCGAGCAGCTCCTAACCTGGTGGAGGAGAAGATGGACAGAGCTTTTTGCTCTTTTGATTGGTCTCAGCTTTTCCCTATTGTAACTGTGCACAATGTCATCCGAAGTTCTTCAGACCACTCAGTTCTTCTTCTTGATATGGGGCTTAAAAGACAAAGAAGGAAATCTTCTTTCCATTTTGACAAAAGATGGTTACATAAAGAGGGCTTTTCTGAGGTGGTGACAAGAGCTTGGCAAATTCCTGTGGAAGGCACTCCTTTCTTCCAAATTAAGGAGAAAATAAAAAATACCAGGATAGCTTTGCTCATTTGGAGTTCCACATTTCAATCTCAGCACCAACAACAAATGGCAGAACTTACTAATAAGTTGGAGACTCTGAATGAAGTTAAAACTGGAGACAAGTGGGAAGAATGGATCAATACTAGGAGGGAGTTGAATAAAGCTCATTTCCAGGAGGAGCTCTACTGGCAACAAAAGGCTAAGCACAAGTGGCTAAGGGAAGGAGATGCTAACACCCATTTTTTTCATGCATATACCCTACAAAGAAGAAAGCTCAATGCCATTACAAGATTAGTCTCCTCTCAGGGTACTGTGTTTTCATCTCAGAAGGAAATTGAAACTCATATATCTGATTTCTACAGATCCCTATTTTCTACTGAGGGCAGCTGGGGAGGTGACACTTTACTCCCTCTCATTACTCCATGTATCACAGATGATATGAATCAATCTCTTCTCAGACAAGTGGATGAGGCAAAAATTAGAGGTGCTTTGTTCAGTCTTGAGCCTGACAAGTCTCCAGGGGAGGATGGCATGACTGCTAGATTCTATCAACATTCCTGGGACCTGATTAAGCCAGATGTGCGGAGGGCAGTCTCAAGCTTCTTCCAATCTGGTATGATCCTTAGATACTGGAATCACACGATAGTGTCTTTAATTCTCAAATGTGATTTCCCTCAGTCTTTGAGTCAATTTAGGCCCATCAGCCTCTGTAGTGTGCTCTACAAAATTATTTCAAAGTTGCTAGCTCAAAGGCTTAAAAGCTGTCTCAAATTTTGCATAAGTGAGCATCATGCTGCTTTCATTGAGGGCAGACATATTACTGACAATGTAATCATAGCTCAGGAGGCCTTTCATTTCCTTAACAGACACTCTTCAGGTCCTAATTGCTTTATGGCTTTGAAATTAGATTTGGTTAAAGCTTTCGACCGTGTTGAATGGGATTGTCTGAAAAGAATCATGATTCAAATGGGTTTTCATCTAGACTTTGTCAAGCTCATAATGGCATGCACTTCTTCTACATCTTTCTCTTTCAAGGTAAATGGTTCTACTTCTGGATTTGTCTCCCCTTCTCGTGGTATAAGACAGGGGGACCCTTTATCACCCTATTTGTTTATCATAGTGGCTGAGTTACTTTCAGTGCTTATTGTTAAATCCATTGATTCTGGTAGTCTTTGAGGAATGAAGCTGTCTAGGAATGGCCCTTTGCTCTCTCATCTTTTATTTGCAGACGATTCTCTCTTTTTCTGTAAAGCTGGTGTGGATCAAGCTGGAGTCCTTATGAATATTTTGGAGCAGTATAGGCTCTTTTCAGGTCAGGCTGTGAACCTTAAAAAATCTGCAATTTTTTTTAGTAAGAATACTCCTCAAAATCTTCAGTCTGCTATTTGTAGAACTTTAAATGGTATCACAGCTCACAGATCCACTAGGTACCTTGGACTTCCTCTAGGGATTGGTAAATCCAAAAGGGAGGTGTTTGAATATTTACTGATCTCTGTGAAAAAAAAACATACCAGCTGGAAGATAAAATTTCTAAGTTCTGTAGGGAAAGAAGTGCTTTTAAAAGCTGTCACCCAAGCCCTCCCTGTTTATACTATGTCCTGCTTTACTTTGCTTGTCTCTGTCTGTATGGAAATTGCTTCCCTCTGTGCTCAATTTTGGTGGCAATCTAACTCTGATCAATCTAGAGGAATTCACTAAAAGAAATGGAGCTTTCTTACTCTTCCCAAAGATTGCAATGGCCTGGAATTTCATGATCTCTAGCTTTTTAACAAAGCTCTGATATGTAAGCAGCTGTGGAGGATTGTATCAAATCCTGATCTTCTTGTCAGTAAACTTCTTAAGGACAGGTATTTTCCTCATTCTTCTATTGTGCATGCTACTAAATCTCAAGGAGGTTCTTGGATGTGGAATTGTTGGATGGCTATGATTCTTTTCTTTGCAAAGTGGCTCAAAATTGAGATCAGAATTGGAGTAAGTACCAGAATTGATGATTTGAATTGGGTTCCTAACTTGGGTAAGTCTCTCCCTTCTCTTCTTCCCATTGCTAGAAATCACCTCATTTGGGTAGCTGATCTTATGCATAGTGATGGATATCACTGGAATGAATGGTTAGTGCAGCAAGTTTTTAATAGCACTTACAGTCAAGCTATTCTCAAGATTTCTACTCTTAATCCCCACAGAGCTGATAGAGTTTATTGGGGGCTTGACCAGAAAGGGCAGTACTCGGTTTCTGGTACTTACAAACATCTTTGAAGGACCAAGGCTTTATTGACTGATCTCCCTGAGTGCAGCAGCAGTTCTTTGATCAAACAATCTACAAAGCTTAGAATGTGGAAGGTTAAAACTTCAAGAAAAATCAAACTGTTTCTCTGGAAATGTATCACAGGTTCCATCCCAGTTGCTATGAATCTGAAGAAGAGGGGACTTGACCTTGACACTACTTGCTCTATTTGTAGAGAGGAAGCTGAGACTCTGGAACACATCTTTTTTCTTGCAGGAGAGCTGTTAATGTTTGGAAGTTCAGTCCAATTTGCTGAGATGGTTTACAGAATTTCACTCAGTCCTTTAAATCTTGGTGGTATCAGCTTTGTACTCTTGACTGCTCTGATGTAGCTGAAGCTCGCATTCAACTCACTACCTATATACTTTGGTGGCTTTGGAAGTTGAGAAATTTGTGGATTTTTCAGAAGTCTTTGATTCCGGAGTTTAAACTCCCTCAGATTGCTTGGTCAGAGTGGTCTGAGCTCTCTTTAGCTTCTTCTTCTTTGCATTTGTAGCTGCTGGTTTTCTTTTTTTTTTAGTCTCTTTTGTTTTTTAAGTTCGATCTCTTGCTAGGCTTTTTAGCAGTGGTGGGGATTGTACTTTTTTCTTCTTTCTCTCTCTCGGCTTTTGTTTTTTAGAGGTTCTAGGTCGGCTTCTAGCGGGTCTCTCAGTTTATGGTTTCGGATTGTTTCTCTTTGTATTCGAACTATGTTCGCGTTGTGAGTTATATAGTATCATCTATCGTTTTGGGAAAAAAAAATGTGAAAAAAGAATGTTTTAAGACTATTCTTTTTGGTTCGAGAATGAATTTTCGGTTGTAGATGATTATTGTTTGATGTAATAGTTACAACAAAATGGGTTTGCAAATGAATTTTTCGGTTGTAGATGATCTTATATTTATTCCCAAATATTATTACCGAAAGCAATTTGTTGTTATGTGTTAGGCACATAATTTTTATTTTTTATTTCTTATTCAATAAAAAATGTGATTTAAAAATCAACATAGAGTTGTTTCTATTCTCTCTATTTTTAACTTAAATATAGAATAAATTTTAAGCATAAAAAAAATAAAAATAAAAGTTATCAACGTTACTGAACATGTCAGTTGTATCTATTTTTGAATTATTATTTAGAGAAATGTTATACACTATAAAATTAGTGATAAAAATATATATTGTATATTATAGATATAAAATAAATAAAAATATATATAGAAATTAAACTATTTCGACTACTGGTCCGACCATTGAACTATTGAATTGGTAACTTCACCAGTTCGATGACCCGTTCGTTTTCCATAACCATCATTACAAGTCTCCAGTGAATTTGTCAAAGATCTATTTTTGATGGGTTAGTACTTAGTACATTGTAGCTGTAAATACTAAACATTACTCATAGTTTTTATTGTTATGCGATTGTTAACAACGATTAGATGTGGGATTAATTGATTATTTGAAGGAGTTTGGACGTAAAACATATATTAAAAACACAAGCAAAGGCCCCGGTCCGAGGTGAACCGAGGTGAAAGGTGTTGGTCTTTTTTTATATATGTTGAATGTTCAGAGAGCAACCCTTTTACAAGTATACAAATCTTCTATTTATAGTATCTTTTGGGACCCGTATTTCAAATTGTACGGTCGCTTTTACGTAAAGCGGCTTTTTGACGGGCGGCCATGTGAGTGGGTCCCGCGTAAATGATGAGATTTCTCGTGGTGTGAGGATGCGTCACGTATGTGCCTTGTCACCTGCTTTGGGGATGGTGACCTCAGTTCGTGGTGACTTCGGTTTTCATGGGACAAGTCGGTTTTCTTCACGTCGGTCAAAGTTTGGTTTGTATTATAAACCGGAATGATTAGAATTCAGGCCGGTGCTAATAATGATCCTTTTAACGTGTGATTTTGGGTGTTTAATCTCAGATTACTGGGTCGGATGATAACAGAGAGGCCCCCAGTGTTAGCGAGCATACGAAAGTGATGGTCGCTGACATCGTAAATATAGAGAAGGATTCCGAGCTGGTAATACGTTGCGAGCCGGGCATGTCTTTACCGAGGCGTCTATCCATTGGGCAGTACCCGAAATGAGAAGTGGGTTCTGAAGCGACAGTCATCTTCCGAAGTGAGAACACTTGTAAAAATTTGGACGAGCCAAGAGGCAGCGCTTGAGAATATTGATGGGAGCATAACGGTCGGGTATTAAATGTGACGTGCGAAAAGTCGCGCCGTAATAAAATTAAGTAACGACTGCATTTATAGGGTGACACATGTGATGTAGGATCCGTCAGGTAAGAAAGTCGTGTCGCTTGTGATTATGGGTCGCGTCGGTTACACGCGCCCCTAATTTGGGAGCCTAGCGGTCGAAATCTGGGGATTATAAATAAGCGACGAAGGAATGCAATTGGACTTTTCTGCCTTTGTTTTCGCTTTTGAATTTTCATATACTTTCTTCTTGCCGTTGATTCTTCGAGCCTTTGAGAGTTATTCTTTGTGTGTGAGCATCTGTGAATTTTTCGATAAGTCTCACCATTGATTTCTCGTTATTTTTATTTGTTGTTTGATTTTATCTCGGTCGAATGGCGTCGAAGGGTAAGGGTAAGGCCATTGCGAGTTCTTCTAGTATCGAGTCGGTTCCGCTTGAGGTGTACCACGACTCGGAGTTGGTCGAACTGGCTTTTGAGTATCACCGATGGGATCCGATGATAGTGAGACACCTTGACCTTAAACCGAACGATGAGGATGGGGACTGTATATTGGAGGAGAATGCTCTGGATTTGGAGGATCAATGGAGGCAACCGGTGAGGAAGTGGCCGGATCCGAAGGTGGATTTCCTAGGCGAGCCTAGCATCTTGACGGATGCTAATGTGGTCCTATTGCGAGAACAGGTTTGGATCCCATCTTCGGCGAAGATCTTCGCACCCTATCCGGGGGAGAGAATAACTAGCCCCTCCCGGGATGTGTTGGTGTTTTTGCGGAGAGTTTGAGGTCGGGAATATGATTCCTGTTGTCGAATTTGATTATAGAGTACCTTCGTAGTTGGGGGTTACCTCTGTGTCAAATAACACCAAGCAGGTGGAAGAAGATCATTGGGCTGATGGTCCTACTGAATGAAAGGGGTGAGAGTCTTCTGTCGTGCGACGTCATTAGGAGCATTTGTGCTTTTAAAAGG